TCAAGTGAACTTGCACGTTGTTTGCAGTAAATGCGCAGCACAGTATAATAAACTGTGTAATAAAGCTTGATTGATTGCCATCGATCACTAAAACACAAGAACAGCTTAAATCATAAGATTTATATTCTGAATAATTTAAGCAAAATTCGACAAAAACACATAGAATTGAAAAATACTAAAAAAAATGTGAATATTCTGATAATATTCGAATACAAAACATAGAGGAACTATCATAAAATATTAATTGGTCTGTTGATTCTATCACTACTGACATATTATTCCTGCTGTTATTTATCGTTATCCTTCGATAGCAAACATATCACTAAATACGTAGCATCGGTCATAAGTGCAAACACTTCCTGACTCGTTACTCATAATTACTCGAGCAAGTCACTGTATAATAGTATGAATCACTCAATGTTTATATTACCCGTTGTCAGAGCTCTTTCATATTAAAATACTTTAACTATAATCTTTTCTACATCCGCAAGACCCTAAGGAACGATTTCTGCTTGGTAAACAATACACATTCTACGAAATATCAGCACAACTGTAAGTAGAAAATCATTGTACACGTTTTATTGGCAGATATATACAAACAATGCTTGCTCAGACTCACATTGATCGTCTCCAACAACAGTTTTAAATCCCGATGGTGAAGCTTGAAAAAGACTCGTGTTGACCTCGTGAAATGTAGAGTGACACGTAATCATTCTGATTGCATCGAACTCAATATCTCATAAAACATGCTGGTGTTCATCGAAGAAACTATTTTCATAGGCCATAATGAAAAAATACTGCATCGCTTTTCGGAATCCCGAATCATGACAAAGGAAAACTTCTGTCACATTGATCATCATATTTGATGTAGCAATTGTAATAAAGTACAAAAATAAATACTCTCGAAAAGTTAGACCAAGTAAAATGAGAATACATTCGTTCGGTTTCTGACGTGATGAAGAGAATGTTCTCGACGTCGGTAGAACTATCTTTAGAAACTTCAATACATTCATCACAAGTACTACGGATCTTTCTCAGCAAGATTCAGAGGCTATCAATCAAGAAAAATAAAAAGGATAAACAAATTTCAAATATTATTGATATATATGTCATCAAATTTCGCATGCAAGTTTCTGTGTCGTTAACCGAATGATAAATCTTTTCATTTTAGACATGTAATAGTAGTTTTTGATTTTGCATCGGTAGGAGCGTTATTGAGTATATACGTTTTTCAAACTCGACAACATTAAGAGCACAAGAGAATTCTTTCTATATTCGATCAACGAAAGAAAGTAGTGATTGTCTTTGAACCATTAAAAAGTTACTCCTGCACTTCATCCGTTCTAGTGACTACAAGCACTGCATAGGCTAACATCAGCATTGGTTTAAAGACTTCAGAATATCGCCTAGATTCTTTTTTTTCAATAAGAAAAGTTTGATAAACTTAAAGTAATGCTCAATTGAGAGTAGTTGTTTTTAATGCTGAAGAAGAACGCATTCACTTGCTCTCAATCTTCATAGGTAGAAGAAATACACAAGAAGAAAAGTAAAGCATGTGACCATGTGTAATGATTATTGTTGCCAGTTTTCTTTGCATAAGAGAACATACAGAAGAATAAGAAATGTGGAGACTCTTGATCGAACTTAATGGTAATCCTGTTTATAATTTGGATAGTGTTGGTGTTTTTCGAGTGTATCAAAGTTTATGCTTAGAGTTTTCGATACAAATAAAATTCCAAACACATATTACAACGATCAAAAAAAGAAATCATGTAGAGTGCACAAATAGAAAACGAAGCCTTGAGACGTGTTTAATGCTTCTTCCAAGTTGATATTTTTGATTTATATCAATAGTCAAAAATATTTTCGACGCAGTAGAAATTTTATTTTGAATTTCTTTTTTTAAAATTTTTTTCAAAAAAGATGCAGATTGAAACGTCAACTCCGATTGCGTTTATTCATTCTGATTGTTTGATGTGAATGAATCACACAACGTCTTTTTTTGCGTTCTTGTTTATACCTTCATGAAAAACATTTGTTCTTGCATCATCATCCAGTAAGTTGCAGTTGTGAAGGACACAATTACACTGTTATCACACCGTGTAGTTGTTCTCATTTCGTGTTTTTCTTCTTTAAACAAGACTACTGTAGTATTAAGGTGATGACGGATTCTTTCCCTGATAACGCTCCATCGACTGAAGCGACCAAAACCTTACCATTGATGGTAGAATCGAATCAACATACCATCATAACTGATTCTTTCCCATCAATCAAACTCAATAGCCAACTTTGCACTACACCCAAGAATCATTCAACAGAGCAAAATACAAATGGCACAGATCGTTCGTTTGACTCATCAGTCGATCCACAGCAGACTAACGTTCGATGCGAAGTACAGAACAACATTCACGTAGCTCCAAGAAATTCACCAAATGGTACGACGGATATTGAGACTCAAATGCAATATCCATTCTCGAACAAAAATGTTATCAATGCATTGGAGCATTGCAAAACATATGTAAGCAAGGCTGGTACTGCAAACAATGAAGTGTCGACAGTAGCTTGTACTTCTCAGGTAAAAAGAAAAACTACATGTATATCATGCTGTCAAATAAATTAAATTATCCGATTTATCTGTCTCTTTGTATAGTTAGATATTTCTCACGGAAATATATTGTCCATACATCTAAATATCGTAGTAATGATATATTAATTTTCTCCTGTGCAATGTTAACAATATTTTTTTGAAACGCGTTGATATTCACCATTATATACGAGAGTAGGAATTAGAAGCAATTCAAGATGTAAAAAGATAAGGACATAGACCAGAAGAAAACCTATCGAATACGCTTCCTCTTGTCTCTTATTCTTAGTAAAATACTGAACATTTGCTAGAAAATAGTTTAAGACCGATAACACAGAGAACGTACATACGAAACATGGGTTCTGAATAGCTGTTGTAGCATTTCTCATTTTATGAGTCAATTGTTGGAACAAAAATGATTATATCACAATTCGAGGGCAATACTCTAAATATCACTGATATACAATGGAGAAGTCGAACTTTTCTGTTTAATAGGAATTTTTGTCTTGAATGTTTTTTCAGCATTATTGGAAGAAAAAAAAACCGTTATGTCTTTCTTTTCTAAACATATTATTTTTAGTCTGACTCCCAAGCAGCTAGCACCTTCAACGAACACAATGCCAAAGAGTGCATACTATGTTTCAAGTTGATTCCTGAGGCTGACTATGTGACCCACGTGGAAGCATGCTTGCCCGAAACGCCGGACAATCCCACCACAAGCAGATTCGTTCAACGCAAACAAGAATCTTGTCTCAATTGGTGAGTAACCTTTCGAATAATTGACAGTCATATTTTTATGCTATTTGTCGCTGAAAGTCAAGTGATTGTGTGGGATTATTTCTTCAGTTGTTCTATCAAAACAAGATTATCAAACACAGATGGTGGGCGAATCACAGCAACTTGATGAATTCGACTTGTTCCAATATAAAGCTAGAGAGTCTACAAAGGTCTGAGTTTCAGCTAGGCAGAAATACGACTAACATGAGATTGAAACTCCAACAATTGTTTGTAAAAATTACAAGACTAGTCCGAGTTAATCTTCTTGGCAAAGTCTTCAAAACTATTCGAGAATTTTCATGAAGCCGTGCATTAATAGTTTTTCATTGCTGCCATCGTCGACTTCTCTGTCAAGTGACACGAGATATATCGAATAGTGCACTTCTAATCTGAAGTCTAATCTCATTATTTTTGTGAGAGCCAGTCTTCGAAGGTAAATCTAGATCCATTTATGTTTATGACAAGTTCACATTTTTATCGCAGAAGTACTGAAGGAGAGAGCATAAGACCCGTGTTTCTTTCTCAAGAACGAAAACATTCGCAGAAGGCTACTAACAAAAATTTTCGGCAACAGATTTTCTCTTTTCCCAAAGTTAGCCTTCCTCATATCATTTCTGGATGCACGTCTACTTTTTGCCCGTGACAGAAACTCTTCTGTCAACTAAGACAGTTAATAAGCAGGTGCTTTTTTTTGAAAGTTCTTGCTCAGTGAATCCAGGTGATGGTTCAGGTTTTGTCATCCCGTGTCGATCATATCATATTCATTGCTTCCGATGCTTATACAATTCAATGAACCAGTTTATTGCTTTGCAATCGATTCCTGTGTGTCATTCAATTTTATGTGACTATCAACTCTCACGCCATGACCTCGCATGTATTCCTCTGACTCAACATATGTTCCGACAACTGTTAGCTCTTGTCAAGACTCAACAACGTCCACAGTGTCCTCGATGTCACTTTTATATCGATCTCCAACAGATTGTCGATCTTTACCAACATGTGGAGTCTTGTCATCCAGAAAATATGGTTCCTTGCGAACACTGTTACTGTCCACAGGATCTCACTGTATACGATGAGCATAGTCGACAGTGTCGTAATGATCGAACAGGACGCCAACAAAAGATAATTGAATTTATTTTACCTCGCACTAAGTATCCATTTAGTGCACGACAGATTGGCTTCTTTATTGAAAATCAGAAGAAAACTAATCCGGTTATCAATCCACTTTCCATTGTTGAAGAACTGGCCGAGTACGGTGAGTTATTTCTTTATCTTTTGATTAGGACTATAGTTTAGTCGTTTGATCATTGCAGACGACGTCTTTCCAATGGAGCTCCCCACTCGTGACTGCGATGTTTGCATGGAATCGTGTTTATTAGATGATATTTTTGTATTTGGCTGTGATGATAGTCACAAGTTGTGCTACAAATGTTACGAAGCATCTTGTCGAGTCAAGATGAACAATAATGAGATTCTCACTTGTGGTATTTGTCCTTATCAGCTTCACTATGGTGAACTGAATCAATTACGAGTATCACCGGATCAACGAGATCTCTTTGTTGAGTATCAGGTACAGAAAACCTTCGATCGTTATGCAGGCGGCGGTCGAGGCGTGATCAAATGTCCAAAGCAAAGTTGTATGTGGGCCTTCGAGCCCAATGATCCAAATGAACGTTTTCGAGTCATCTGTCAACTGTGTGCAAATGAATTTTGTTCACTGTGTAATCAGCAATATCATTATCGAACAGGTTGTCAACAGTTAACTGTGATCACGGAACGATGGTTCTTCTGGTGTAACTCAGGTACAGTATCAGACGTACTCGGATTTTATTGACTTGTTTTGTTATTGTTCATTGCTTTATTTGTGTTTCAAGAGCGTGCTCGCTATTTAGCTAAGCGAGCAAGACAAGATGCTACATATGCAGTTCGATTAGCTGAGCACGAAAAACAACATGCTGCCAACAGACAACGAAATGAAGAATTACGTCACCGTTATGATACAGCAGTAGCAGATGAAAAATACAAAGCAGAGCATTGTCGTCATTGTCCACATTGTCATCGAGTTGTTGAGCGTATAGAAGGATGCGCATCAATGATATGTGGACAAGATTATCATGGCGGCAATACTCAATCAGGTTGTGGAAAAAGCTTCACATGGGACCAGGCGAAAAAATATAGATCAGCAACCGTTCGAAGACCTGAACAACTCATGAATGATCTACCACCTCCTGAGAGCCCAGTTGTAGTACATGAAAATATCAAGTAAGCAAGAAAAATATTATTCATCGATTGATTATCTCTGACAATGAAAACTATTTGTAGGTGCGATGGTTGTCATGAGACAGTACGTGGTATTCGATTCGATTGTGTACATTGTCCATCGCTGATCTTTTGCGAGAAATGTGAACAAAATTGTACACTCGCTCATTCAGACGAGAATCGGCGTGCCGGGCAGCAACAACATGTCTTTCGATTGATAATGACACCATTTGATGAGGCGATGTATTTGTGATCGAATAATTTTTGTTTTGAAGAAAACAAATTTAAATTGCGAGTGCTATAAATGAAACAGATCTTATGTATTACTAAAACGAATTCGTAAGATTGATTTTTGTCTTTTCATATTGATTGTTAGACATCATCATATATACATATTCATATATCTGGCATAGACACAACAGTTACAGTCATTGACACAATTAAATGTTCTTACATTATATTCAAGAACAAAATTTTCACTCATTCAGTTACATCGATTAGCATTTCATCAATCATGAAATAGAAAGCAATAATTATTTTGTAAGACCGAAATGTCAGAAACATCAACTGAGCAATATCGACTGCAAGCAAATCAGTGCTAGTGTTCATGCCTTGTCTTACACCAATAGGTGTTATGATGTTTGCCTCAATGAATTCGATTTCCTTTGTACAAAATAATGTCGTATCAGACACATCTGAAATGTTATATAAAAAGTTTGTGTACAGAAATAATTGTTCCCATAGTACATGTTGACTTATGAAAAGTTATTCGTTCTTGTTGACTCTCAAATATAAATGTCTGTTCAATATGCCAAACTAGTATACACTCTCAAAGTAAATGGTTTCTGGCATCTAACTAGTCGTCCAGTTCAACATAAAATACTGAACAGATTGGAAGCTATGCATTGTGTCATTTCTTTAAATAAAGCATAGATTTTCTTGCAAGTGAATTTAGAAAGAAAACAATGATTAAATTACAAGCATAAGATTTTCAATGCTTGAAATTAGGTTTGATCATGTTAAGCTCAAATACAAAACAAAAGGAAAAACTACTTTTCAAACTCATATTATAGTTTTACGCATCACAAAACCTAAGCAAAAAATGATGGCAACTGCACTGTTGTAATAATATTGGTTGCATAATGTGTTCGGTTCTTATCTCTTTTGATACTTCTGTGGCAGACACAACGTAAAACAATCGTTTCAAGTCACGAACATTAAAGAGAAATTTATGAAAACGAATGGGAAATGAAGAAAGTTATAGAGCTATTTTGATTTGCTAGAATCTATGAAAAAGCATTGCACAAAAATAGTGTGAAAAAAAAATCAAATATTGCAATATGATTCAATTGAGAAAGGTCGATGGGATACATGTAATAGGTATTTCGAATTTAATGAAAGAACATGAGACGATATTCCAGTTACAAGGATCAAACTGTTCATAGTTATTGATCAGACGTCGATAAACGTATCTTCTCTGTCGTGCAAAAAATGCTTCATCAATACTCAAAGGAAACTTTGAATAGTCCATTTATTGAAGAATTCTGCTAAATTTTCATCTATTGTTCGAAAAATACTGGATACATCAATAATAGTAGTTGAATCATCAAAAGAAAAAAAAGACGGCTATGTTCCTCAGACCTGTTCAAAACTTATGTTTGAAACTACTTTTTTATACTTGAAATAATCCTATAAAGACTCAAAACTGACAGTGTAAACCTTATTCAAGTCAAAGGTGAGTGGACTTTTCAGTGTGGAATGTTCGTATGGCTGCTTAGAAAACTCACATCCACATGCTCACTTTAGTGACGCAAAAGCAACACCACTCTTTTTTTTCACATATTAAATAAAGAGAAAGAGACAGAAATGCAGCTGTTCATCGTTAGAAAGACGTCATGCCATTTAGTGTTTTTACTATAATATTACAAAGCGTTCACTTGATTTTTCAGTGTCACTTAACAGAATCTTGAAATGATCAACTTAAAATCGACTCTCGTTTGCATCAGTGAAAATCACCGTTTTCTCTTCAAAGTTGAACGTTGCCACCATAGAACACGTCATGATAATTGATTTCTTTACATTTTTTCCTCATTTCTGCCAACTCAACATCATGCGACAGTTTGAAGCGAAGAACGAGAACGCAGCTTATCATTTATTCATTCCCTTTCAAGAATGCTTTTAATAATAGTTAATTATATTCTTTTCCGAGTCGATTCAAGAATAGTTTGCGTTGCATAAAAAATACGCTCTACCAACGGCATATTATTTTCAACAAATTAACATTACTTACTCAAAGAGAAAAGGTAAAACGCGATCACTTCGAATGAATTGAACATAACTTTAACAAGTAGATAGTTGCTGACGATCACTGAACGTTTTTACGTACTATATGAGCAGTATGTTATAGTTACTTTTTGTTAAATCAGGTGACATCTCATTTTGAATAATCCTTTCATATCTTTCTTAAACTAGTCAACTATGATTTTCACGTCGATTGTTTGAGCTCTTGCTAATCATGGTCAATAATATTGAATGAGCACATGTGATATCCAGTTGAATAATTACAGTTCTCACACGATCGTATGTTGGATATATTCTGAGTTTCTGCTAGCTTGTATAGAATAAATCTACGAGATCTAAATATACATGAGTTAATGTCCACTTTTTGAAGTATTGATCTCACGGCAAACACAACGAATGGAAAATCGGATTGAATCTTTGAGTTTTTATTATTGAAAACCCGTGTTGTGATTCTCTTATCAAAAACTTTCAGCATTCTGATGTGTAACGCTTCATCAGTAATTCTGTTTGATAAAAGCGAGCAAGAACATGATCTCTGTTTCAAAATTCCTCAGGTACTCTCGATGCAGTTCATATTATCCCAATAGTCTATTATTGACCTTGATACTTTTGCGCAAACACTTCAGCTTCTTTTTTTACATACACACAGGAAATGGCAATCAACTTAGCGAATCTAAGTGATCTTATTTTTAATGGCTTAGTACGATGTGTTGAATCGAACGAGAAAAATGATATTTCAACAAGCGGAACAAAAATGCTTCACATACCAACCAGTAAGCAGTTGAATGACAGTATTGCACGACTACTCAACTGCTTATTTCCATTCGAACACACTCATGAGAAGATTCGATACGAATTGCAAACATCAACAAATAATGTGATGTTCATACTCTCTTTACAATCGACCGTGCCTAACAAACTTGATCGACACAAATTACTGTGCGATATAATGCAAGGCAATTTTGAAGTATTGACAAAAAATACCGTGAAATCCCTCGAAAAACTTGCAAAGATTCAACATGAAAGTGATTGTTCTATTGAGAAATGTAATTTATCCTATGATGAATATGTGACAAACTTTCTACATAAGCATACACCAGAAGTCATGGACTTAGTACAACTCAAGAATCATTTATTTATTGTTGTCAAGACAGATGGTCAAGTTTGTGGTATCGAACAGATCATAGAACCTATTCTAAAGTACGCTTATTTTCACTTTTGCAAATTCAAGCCGAACGATCCTATTTTAAAAACCGACATAGACAAAATTTTGGATCGTTTAATTCATCTACTATATTGTGCTCTCTTCGTCTTATGGTCTAAAGCACATGGAAAAATGATCGAAGAGGATCTTTGGAATTATTGGTATCGCTTTGTTTTAGCAGCAGGTCTTGTATGTGTTCTGCTAGATGCCTATTATCGACGTGCTACCAAGAAGGTAAACAAGTTTTTTCACACTATAATATCATTCTTTTTCTCAATATAGAGTGGTATTCTACATATTCTCTCCAAGATAGTTAAGACCAAACTGTTCTCAGATGTCGTTGTTACTATTGATCAAGGACAGTTGCAAGAGATTTCATCAGAAGACCTGGCAATAAGACATGGAGATTACGACTCCCATGATGATTCTCGTAAGAATGTAGAAATTGAGAAAGTTTTTGCTCAAGCTGTACAAGTCATTGGCGAGAAGCTGAAGACAATTGGTGAAGAATATAAAATTGAAACACTTGTTGGACAAGAAAACCTTAAACAGGGGTCTACGAATGAGGATGAAAACGAAGCAACGTTATTTGTCAACGAACAACAACAAAGTATGTCGAGTTGAACTATTTGAATTGTAATGTATAATTGTTTCTTGGACGATTTTTCTATAGATTTTCCCATGAAAATAGTTTTCTATTGATTAAAAACATTTATCTATTTAAAAACGTATACAAATAAAAAAGTTCATTCTTTATGACTGAATGAATTTATATTAAAAGAAAGTCGCAATAGAAGCTTCCCATTTTTATAAAAGACTTAGTCAAGAATGTAAATTGTCTTTCTGCTAATGTATTATTGAAACAGAGTTTTTGAAATAGTAGACGCAACAGTGCAATGATTTTTCAGTTTTTCTTTTAGAAACCAAAGTGAATTCAATTACAAATAAGCTATACATTATCAAATGTGCCTTGGGATTTCAAATCAACAAAGATAATGATGACTCTCGATATGATAGTATCGCTCGTTTAACTGTATTACATGTGTTCGACTTAGATATACGTGATGTTGCTGAAATAATATCTGAACAAAATGAAATAGACTGGCCTGACAAACGTATTAATAAATTATTGATCATGACACTTTTACGTAGCGCCGAAAATGATAACGATAAAAATACGGAAGCGACATCCGTTGCAAATACCACTGAACACAAAAGAAACGAATGGACTATAGACGATGATGTGGCTGGTGTGAATGCATTACACAAATTCAATCTAGCTTTGGTTGATCTTAGGCGTTACTTTCATTATGACAATGATCTATGTCACGTTTTACAATGTAACTCAAATACCAGTACAATACCAAATATTAGTTCCTTGAACTCCACAGATTTTCCGACATTTTGTAACAAAAAGCATTGGATGATAATTGAACGTAATCAAGAGGCAAAAAAAGCTCTCGAACTCTATCATAATCATCGCGGTGGCTGGGAAATATTCGATGCTCTTTCGACGAAATTGGTTCGCTTAGGATTCGGCAAGAAAGGTACAGGACGAATTGTTGCTGCAACAGATGATAAAAACACTATTAGAGTTCTTTTACATGTTGGTAATCACCATACTTATATGATTTATCGGAGCAAAGCTCATGCAGGTGTTGTTGCAGCGTACAATGGTTCTGAGGAAAAGCGACAAGACCCAAATCTCACATTCGTCGACTATTTGAGACTAGGACCAAATATATTCAATTTAAACACTCGCTTCGCAAACAACTGAATAGGGACGCAGTTTCTTTAAACCTTGTTTGAAGAAAATAATGTTGTATTGTGAATGAAATAGCCAAAAATAAAATGCTCTTAAAGATTAGCATTACTAATACCAATGTATCATTGGTTTGGTACACAATCCACATTGCCAAACATTCATCTCTCGTGTGATAAGTGCTGATTTTGCCATTCTTTTCATTCACCAAAATCAATATGAAAACATCGATTGAGTAGTTTGACTTTTTCCAAAGACTCTATACACTGCACTAACTGATCATTGAAGTTATATATTCTGTCAACATAAAGACTAGCATTGATAGTGCTCAAATGGAGCTATTCAGAAATATTGATTAAAATCTATTGGTATATTGACAAAAGATTGATACTGATTTTTATGTGAAAACTTAGGATTTTCGAAACAGAAATTTTCATTTTGATAAATGATAGAAATGGTTCATCCTTACATAAATCCAAAGAAAACTTTGATGTCTTTGTTTTCAAGTTTAGGAAAGTACTTCTGGAATATCCATGATTTTCTGTTGTATCTTCAAGATATTTATACAAAATAGATTCATCTTTACTTCTCAAAACTTTGTTTTCGAGTGTAAAGTCTAATAAACAATAACATCTACAGTTACAATCTGCAAGAAATTTTTAATATAGTGGCCAGGTACGAGAAGAGGTAGTAAAAGAACAAAATTTTCTGTTAGAGGCAATAGTGCAATTATCGATGCATGTACCCTTGCATAAATAATAATAGAAAATTATAATATTGTCATAATCACTAAATGTATACAAGGTGGAAATGAATGTAATAGATTTCTGAATGAATCGGCGTATTATTTTTTTTTGTTTGCAAGACATGATAATGAATTATAGTCCTCAATTAAATCCTATCCACCAGTCGTTGTTTTAATTGAGCCTATGGATAGGTGGTTGTGAACGTAGATAGATGGATATGGGTGGAAAATCGTAATTTTTCATGTGACTCTCATAGTGGTACGGTCATCGATGAACTACTTGAGTTCTATCAGCAGTTAATTTTTTTAATACTACTAGATCTTTCTAGTAAGGTTTTAAATTTATTACAGTTGCAACTTAAATTTATGAGAATAATGATAAAATGAAGCAGAAGAAAAATATACATTTATTTACGTATTTTCACATTTTCAAACATTAACAAAAAGAGCCCAACAAAACAATCAAATTCGAGCTATGCAATAACATACGAATGTTTCAATAAGGACAGTTTTGATAATAGCATAAGAAAATAATCAATAGTAGAAGATCATACATCTCTACAAAACATTTTGACCCTCAAAAAACCTTTAATATGACAAATTGTAAGTCGGCTGGATAATGCAAAGTGTCACAAAGTCTTGTTTTTCATTGAATTGAATACATGAAAACATTGTTTATTAATTGAATTCAACTTTCAAGTTCAATGTAACTAAACATTTGTTAAAGGATGCAGCAGTGTGCATGATGTTAAGAACATCACTCACACCTTAACAGTATCAGAAAGAAAGTAGTATCTTTGTCGACTCCGCACAGTCATACACTATCGATATACTGCTTAGTATTTTCAAGGGCATTTTGTTAATATTTTAGCAACTATAATATATTTGATTATCCTATACAGCAGAATTATACGCATAAGTGACTCGGTCGATATAACAAACGTTAAATTCAAAGAGTTCATTGTTTATTCACTGTCCATTATACGACAAATATAGATTACATAGTCATTTTACTGATTCGTCATAACATATATATTCGTATGCAATATGAAGAAAACTAATATGTTGAGAGAGAATAAACGTAAAGGAAATAGAACAGTAACAAATGAAAGCTATCAATTACATATTTATGCAGTTGCCTTTATTTAATTCAAAATTATTACATAAATTTGATGAAATAAAGAACATTCAGTTTTATTACTGTTGATTTATCAATTGATAGATATTGTCAAAAAAAAAATGAAATCTATAGGATAACTTAGGTATGGAACATTATCTATAAATAATGTACCATTTATTAGTGTATTCCACTAACAACATGTATGAGAAATAGCTATTATCATAGCGAGTTTCCGATGAATTTTCATCTTTCTTTACATCATCAAAAGGCAACAGAAAGAAAATGAACTCATAACAGTTTGATTCACAAATACATTTTTTGCGTTCTTGTATTAATCATCGGTTTCTGGTGACGCAATGGCGAAACACATAAAGAATAACTTTATTATTTCTTTTCTTTCATTTTACGACGAAGAAATAAAACTCATGGCATCATCATCGCCATCAAAAGCTGTTTGTGCGCCATGCGGCAAAAATGGTGTGGGTATTTTTAAATGTGAAGGATGTACACGAGTATTTTGTCGAAAACATTCCATTGAACATAGAGACAATCTTAGTCGTCAATTAGACAATATCGTTCTCGAACATGATATTTTACAGCAGACTATTGTTGAGTATGAACATAAAAAAAAACCATTGCCATCCTCTTATTGAACAAATTAACAAATGGGAAACAGATGCAATAAAAAAGGTTCGGGAAACAGCTGAAGAAGCACGACAACAAGTTAACAAATTGATCAATACACAAACAGGTAAATTAATATGAAATAAATCATTTTTGTTGATTAATATTCATAAAATTAAGAAAAAGTGTCAAAGAAATTGAATGATCTTGCTGAACGATTACGAAAAGCTCGTATAGATGATGATTATGTTGAAACTGATCTTCAAATATGGACAATTAAACTTGATAAATGGAAACGTTATATTTCTGCTGTTTCTTATTCGATTCATATTAATGAGGATCCAACTAATGTACTTATTGCTAAAATGTATATCTCCTCTACAATACAACAATTAGACTTCGAACAACGATTTGGTGAAGTTTTTGGCGATATTAATATTGAAGATAACGGTCGTGTGATTAAACACGGTACTAGCGAATGTGGTAATGCATACGCACGCACTATAGGCAAGTATTCACAAGGAAAACATAAAGTTCAATTCATCATTAACAAAAAAAACTGCACTGTATGTGATATATTTTAATATCGTCTCAAAATCTTTCCGTATATTGGGAGGATCGTCTAAAAAGGATTATTTTGCCTACGGTTGGCAAACTGACGATTGCATAAACAATCCTGACATTGATCATAAAATTAGAAATCACTCAAGAGATTTACAAGGCGAAACAATATTAAAGCTAGAGCTGTTAATCGATTGTGATAATCGAAAAATCAGTTATTTCAATGAACAAACTAACTATACACATGAAATGAATGTAAACATCAATAAATGTCCATTTCCATGGCAAATTGAATTTTATTTGTTCGATATTGATGATCGTGTAGAAATTTTGTCTTCTAGTCATGAGTTCTAAAGTATATTATAACTATAAAGTTTTGTTAATATGATTTGTTAACGCTAAACTTAGAAAATATTTACTGACTTCAGTTAATTTTTCTGAAAAAAAGCTTCACTCTAAATTATAGTCTAATGATAAACTCTATACTATGCAAAAACTACAATGATCAATCGATTGACATTTAATAGATGCTTCTTTATTTAAAATACAAACTTCTTCAATACACTTAATAGCATGGCTAATCAATTTCGATTTTTTTTAATCAGATTTAAATATAAAAAAACATTTTATTATTCCATTGTTTTTTAGCTAAACTAATCCAAAATGAAGTTTTGAAACTGATCTGAATTTCTTTGTTCATTACATATTAAAAATCTTTATTGATTAATTGTATATCAACTGTTTGGAGATATGAACATTTCATTACTACGATGTTTTCTATAATTCTTTAGTTTTAGATAATTATATAAACTAGAATTAGACTATTTTCTTTTGTTTGAGCTTCTAATGAAATGTTCTACTCAGAATTTGTTAAGAAAAATTTTGAAAAAATATCAAAATCTATTTTGCAGATGTGGTCGAATCAAGGCATTCATTGTTTTTCTCTTTTAATTAAACGTTTGATTCAAGACACATCTAGAAAGATGCGGGGAGGGGTTGGATGAAGAGAAGACTTCCATGTCTGCACCCATCTCCGGATGTTTATGAACAATGTAATGGATGCACTTCTATCATGGTTGTATCTTGGGATAGGAACAACAAAAGCATCTGAAACTGTCATAATAAACTATTCTCAGTTATGCTTATTTCTATGTAAAGATTCAAATCGAAAGTTCAAAATTAGTTTTTCTGAAAAGAACAACGGCATTGTATCGAGAAATACTACAAGTTTGCCACAGGATGAGAATGACGAAATTCATAATTTTTACTGCAGCGGTCCTCTTACTATAGGTTGAGTAGTATAGAAGTAGTATTTTGAAAAAAATTCGACTAAAAGCTTTCGGAAGAGAAATATTCAATTTTATTCTTTGATTATCGAAAATTTTTCAGTTGACTTTTTCTCAATCTATGATGATTAATTTTTATTGGGTTTAGTTACATTCTATAAAATTTTGCTGTTTTCTCGACACAAAACTTTCCCAATTTGCAAAAAAAAGAACAATTTGAAAATTTTGGTCAATCATTCACAGTATCGAATTATTCGCCTCTAACATTCTTCAAATGAGTTTTATAAAAAAAAAAAAAGATTGATCTTCTTCTCTCTGATTAAGCTTTATCAGACAGAAAAAAACCATTAGAATCTTTACATTCGTCACTATAAAGTAAAGAATATACTGATGCAAAAGGATAGATCCTTTCATTCTAATCAATTATCTAACTCCTATATTGACATTGTTACATCCCTAGTGTTTCTTTCCCGATCAAGCATAGTTTGTTTATCCAAGGATTCAAATCTTAATATACTATAAAACCATGTATTTCTATTCATGAAACAATGTTTTATGTCTCTTTTTTTTGTATACACAATCCAAACAATGCCTCGACAAAAAAAAAATAACTTATCAAATAAGTCTTTCTATAAAATTTTATTATTTAACTTATTAGCCCAAAGTTTGTCCCCCCAAAATAAATAATATATTTACTATATACATGTATTTTTGGAAGACCGTTGATTTTTATTAACATAAAACAGAAAACTTAAAATCACATTCTATTGTTAAATTTCATAGTCATATCATAACAATTTTCTCCTGCTTATTGATATAAAGATCATCACTCTTCCAAAAATCAATTCACAAATTAATAGTTACATTATTCGTTTTGAAGGCAAATTTTGCAAATGGTGAGTCCAAGAACACATTTCAATTTTTCAAGTAATCGTTGGTATTGTATATGAAAAAAAAACAACCAACCATAACATTCATAGAAATTCTTAGTTGTGCCAAGTAATAAGAACTGAATCTTTTAAATAAAATAAAAAAAAGCAAATTTCAAGAATCTGATTTATTGTGTTTCATTCGTTCTATAGTAAAAAAAAAAGAAGCGCTTTTCAATCTTAGTATTTTTTTCCTAAATGATTTATACGAAAAGAATATTTCTATTTTTAGTTCAATGTTGATGGAATTTTATATATTTCTAATAAAAGATTTCCAGGTAATTTGCCAATTGTTTTTTGTCTTTGTCCATGTGTTGATCGTTCTTCAGCTTGATCAATTCTATTTAATTCTGTAATATCAATTTCTTTTGGTAATTTATTTGGTGTACGTATAATAACTACATGTGATCGATCAGCTAATAATCTTAAATTAAGAATATAACCATTTTGTTCATGTAAATTAATTTTATTAACTTGACCATCAGATTCAATTATACATAAACAATCATCTGATGGCCAATGTGATTTACATAACCATGTACAATTACGTAATGATGTTATTATATCAAGTGAACATGGTTCATTTGAATTAATACGTTTAAGACGATGAAATTTTGATGTATCATTTATAGAATATAAATCAATAACATGACGATTATCATTTAATTCAACATTAATAGCAAGAATTAATTGTGGACTAAGCGCAAATGATGAAAGTAAATCAGAATTATTATAACCAAGTGATGAACGTGTTAATGTATTAATTAAAGGAATTGATGTTAATGAAACTAATCGATGATAACGAATAGATATACCTAAACCAAGATTTAAAATAAGATGAGATGACCAACAAGCCATACGCCAAAATGGTGGACTACCTTATAAATTAAAATAAATAAATATATATATTGTTTTCGTTTTTTAAATATAAAAATTTCCTATGAGAAAAATAACCTTTTTCATGTGTAAGATTAAGATTAATTAAATTATTTTCATTATCAAATGTTGTTAAACGTTTTGATGTAAGAATAAGAAAACAATCAAGTTTTGTACTCCATTGAATATCATGTACTTGTTCATGAGGTAATAATTTTGTTGATAATATATTTGTTGTTGTTGTTTCAATCAATTGACAACCATTATCTAGATCAATATTAAATAATCGAAGTCTACCATCATCACTTAAAAGTATAGAATTTATTTTTGATGATAATGATACATCAAATATTGCATCATAACATGTTGAAAGTGTATGACGATGTATTAATTGAGATGATATTAAACTTGATGATATTAAATTATCATTTGATGTAGACAACCAATAAGATGATAGGATATTACCCATTTCGATTTCGTATGACTACTACTATGTTTGATACTTATAGAAAGAATGAAGAGAACGTGATCGAAAACGAACAAATAAAAAAAAAAGAAAAAAGAAATAACAATATTGTAAATAAACAAACATGGTTATACTTTCATTCATTTATGTTTGTATTAAAATTTTAAATATCTAGATCTTATATAGTTGAATCAAAATCGAGCATATTGTAATTTAAAATAGAGATTTATTTGTATTTTTTCAAATGTTAATAAAAATTATTTTAAAATTTTGATAGATGAAGATTTTTCTTTGATTTTAAATTTCATTTACAAAAAGAGAAGTTTATGTTTTATTTTCTATTTAAATCAATATGGATACAATATCTATCAGTAAGAGAATTGATTCATTATTATTATTGAATGAATTAAGATTTATATGAATTTAAAATGACCTCTATAATCATTTTGAATTCGATAAAAATTTTTCTTTTCTAAATAAATATTAAATTTTATTAAATCAACTAATTATTTATTTAATATTCGTAATCTTAATAAAACCATATATTGTATTTTATTCTTATATTTATTTCAATAGAATCTGCAATAAATAACTTAAATATGAAATCAATGTATCACATGTATAATATTTCTAAAAAATTCATCTTTTCTTTTTAATTCCAATGAATATGAAATTTATTTATATTTTCCCAAATAGACTTGTTTATTTAACGAATAAAATTAAGAGAATATTTTAAAAACACAAAAAGTACAAAAAAAAACAAGAGTCATCGACATAAAAAGACACGTGTTCGTATGTATGTAAGAGAAAGGTAGACAACAATATGTAAAGACGTAAGCCTTTTTAATTTTTTTTTTTCTCCATATCTTCTTCTGTGTCACAAGAGAAGAAAAAAAAATATAAATCAACTGAAGAACAGTACGTACTCTTTTTCTTTTTTTTTTTTTATGATATTTTTCATCAAACAAAAAGAAAAAAAAAATATGACTTATAAATATATAAATGAAGATCAAATTGATGTCGAACTTAAATGTACAATATGTGATGAACCATTTCAATCACCTATGAATTGTACAACATGTGGAAATACATATTGTGAAAAATGTATATTACAATGGATGCAACAACAAACATCATGTCCTTCATGTCGACAAATAGGAAATCGTTTTCAACCTGTTATTAGTCGAGTTGTTATTAATCAATTAAATCGTTTATTAGTTGAATGTACATTATGTCAACAAATAAATATTCAACGATCAAATTTTAATGATCATATTTCTTGTACATGTCCAAAACAAACTATTAATTGTATTAATAAATGTGGATGGAAAGGTTTTCGAGAAAATTATCAAAAACATTTAATTCAATGTCGACGAAAACAAGTATTTGGATTTTTTATTTTACGTTGGTGGAAGACAATATTTATTCTAATTTTATCAATTCTTCTTTATTTTATGTTTCGATAA